CAGTGAACCACAGCGAGAGCCATTATACATAAATGGTGAAAACATGGAACAGTGGTGAAGCTTCCCAGGAGTGACTGGCTGACCAAAATGAGAAAAGAGCACGTCTAAGAGCACATCGCGGACTCATCCTGGGTGTCACAAAAGGATCCAGAAGAACATTAAAGAACTGCAGGCTTCACATATCTAAGTTAACCGAGTATTAAACTTTTAAGTGTGACAAACATACAAAAAAATCGGAAATCGTGAAGGGGGAAAACATCAAAATTTGTCTCCCTTCATTTTACATATAAAGTACTTCATAAGTAAGTGTTTATTGTACAGGGAAGTTATTTTCACGTTGTCTGGCATGTAATGTACAACAGAATATTAAGGCGTCTCTTAGCAGACAGTAAATCTATGCACACAGTGGCAGGCTCTTTTCCGGTAAGGAAAGATCTCTGACAGATTTAAGAGCTAGGAGACCAGAGGCACAGCAAAATACGTCAGTAATGACCCAGATGGTTACTCTCTCTCGTTAAACGTGTTAACGTAAGGAGAGAGAGCGTCACAATAATGAAAAACTGGACAGTACACAGAGACTTTATGGTATTGAATAAATAACAACATGAGCAACATAGTGACTCATCTGCACCGGTTAAAACAGGTTGTTCGTCTAAGTGTGTATTTTTGTTTGTTTTTGTTACAGGAGGTGGGACTGTGTGTATGCTTGTGTGTACTTGTTACCTATAGTCTTCTGGCTCAGAGCAATAAAGCCATCTTCTTCTGACTTAAGTATTATCGTATCTCTGATCATGTTAACATGGTGTACACTGGGCCAGTTCTGTCAGGAGTTATAAACTGACTGGATGGGCAAAATGGCCTTTTGAGTGAGTTGAATGCACCCCAGGGCATAGCTGCTGCTGTCCCTGGTGAATATGTTGATACTATTACATCTAGAGTAGCATGTAACAAGGTAGATCAATAGTTAAGAGATAGCAGCCGGTGTGTGGGCTAATATTATTACATGTTGTATGTGCATCAAACATAATGTCCTACCCAAATTTATGAGATCCACGTTGCACAATGTGATTTGCAGTGAACTTAGAAGCCTGCTATAACTTAATAGTACCCCTCTTTATAGTTATTATAAAATCTTTCTGTGCTAGATGTCAGTGTATTGCAGTTCGGTTTTCTTACCTCTCCCAATTCAAGTGCATAATCCTTGCTACATTGGCTCCTGTAGGACAAACATGTTTTAGTCAGCTAAGAGAGATCAAAACATTACACTATGTTCAAAAACCTAACGTCATGTTTTAGGGTACATTATATCATAACTGCCACGACTACACAACAGCTTATGCCTATAATCGAGATTTTTCCTTTCTGTGGAAGGCAATCAGACCTCTGTTTATCTCAGCTGCCAATGCTGGGTGAGAAGCATCCATGTGTAGCTGTAAAACTGTAAAAGGAGTTCAATACAGGTGAGTCAGTCAGTAAAGCTCACCTCTGACTGATGACAGCCATACTAAGGTGAGGATATCCTGATAGATAGTTTTAGTTTGTGCTAGTGAATCTAATGTGGATTTAACATTGTTGGACTCGTACAGTTAGGGAATAAACGCTCATAGACTGTGTGAATGTAATCAAAATGTTTATCAGAGGAAAAGTGTGATTTTTTTTTTATTTTTTTTTTATTTTATATATGACACTTGAGTCTAACATTAGCTGGCATAATGTTACCTTAAAATCAGCTGTTGTTGTTCACCCGGCTCGTTGTCAACTCTCCAGAGAGGAAAGCCGCATGTCTGATCTACTGGCAATATGTCACTGCCACAGTATTGGGAATAAATAAGCATGTTTATGCAAGTTTTCATGTCTTAGAGTGCGAGTTCTGTTTAGGAGATTAATGTTGAGGTGAGGAGGAACAGGATGAAGATTTATTTAGGTGTGGTGCTATCTCTTTGATGAAGGGGGTCCATTCTCAGATGATAAAACAAGTTCTCTTCTAGTCCCCATTTGGCATACTACATACATGGCCTGTCTCTACCATTTATGTAAAACACCATTAGTTGGAAGAAAATGATGACTTCCAGAAACTGCAAACTCACTCCTATATATTATTAATAGATTAATTACATGTTTATGACAATGCAGTTTATTTGAGAATGTAGTTACACACTGCTGTACATGTACATAGACTATAAGTATACTTTTTTCTATTAAATGACCTCAAAAATTTGTGACTATACCTTTAACCTTCCCATCAGTTCTTAATGAAATGTCAGTAATATCCTTGGTCAAAATACCTCAAGAATATAACTGACTGATGGCTGTGTTTTCTACACAATGGTATAGAATCATACTGTAGGATATAGAATAGGAATATAAGGTGGGAATAGTGAGATAGTACATTTAATAATGAGTTTGAGCTAGTCATGTCTGTCCTGTGCCAGGTGTCCCTGGCATTTAGTCTGCAGCCATCTGAGCTTAGGGAAATCAGACAGATTGCTGTCTGCTCTATGATGAGCTGGTCTCTCTCTTCCCCTCCGTCTTCCACTGATAAGCATACGTCCGTCCTCATATGGCTACTTCCCTTTACTCCATCTGTAGCTCATCAGTATTTCTTCCCACTCTGCAGTCTACAGTATCAGTTTCCCTCCTGCATCAGATGGAAGATTAGTCATGAGCTTGGCTGGGAGCTGTGTCTCAAAACACAGCGGACACACAAGGACGTGGAGAGTAGCCGATCTAAAATGGCGATAAAGACCGCAACACTACACTATCAGCAAAAACGATTGTTACTGTGGCCTGTGATGGTAGCTATTGTCTAAACAACCACATCCTGTTGGCCTGTCTTTCAATTACATCCTACATGCAATTTGTTGGGGTCTTGTTCACAAGTGACGGGAGAGGGGAATGGGTGACTGACAGATGGATTGGTGCTGCGCCTGCAGTGATGTCTGTCGCTGTAAAGAGAGAACGAGGCGTAAAAGCGAAGCTCCCGATTGTCTGGCTGATCTACGTCCCCACCCTCACCTATGAGGGGACAAGAAGTGGAAATGAGCGTTCTCCAAAGGGTGGCTGGCCTCTCCCTTAGAGATGGGGTGAGGACTTCGACCGTCCGAGAGGAGCTCAGAGTAGAGCCGCTGCTCCTCCACATCGAAAGGAGCCAGTTGAGGTGGTTCGGGCTTCTACAAGGATGCGTCCTATATGCCTCCTCGGTAAGGTGTTCTGGCCTGGTCCAACTGGGAGGAGGCCCTAGGGCCAAGACACGTTGAAAAGATTATATCTCTTGGCTGGCGTAGGAATGCCTTGACGTTGCCCCAGATAACCTGGAGGAGGTGGCCAGGGAGAGGGAGGTCTACCGCCACCACCCAGCCATGGATAAGCAGAAGAAGATGAATAGATGGATAAACAGACGGAGGCAGTGCCATTTGTGTCAGCTTCTCTTTGTTCTGTTGGTTGGCTTCCAAATTAGAGCTCTATAAAAGCAAGTCCATACATTAGACTATTGCAAACATGCAATATTTGACTTCTTTAAATTACAGTTATGGTGGTTAAATGAGACTTAAATGTTAGTTGGACAGGCTCCCAGAAACTGTTATAGTTATAAATTCTTTGAATACTTGAAGCAAACAAATGGGCCAGTGATGCATCAGTCGTGTTGATATCTAGCAGTATTTAGGCTAAGAGTTTACCATTAGCAGTCATTACAAGTCTTACCCAGTGTCTTACCCCTGCTGTGTAAGTGCAAGTGTCTTTTATCTTCTGAGCAAAAACACTGAAACCCATCCCACTGCTGTTTTAGTTGTCACTGTAATTCAATCCAAATGTTCACATAAAGATATGTATATAAAAAAAGAACATATCTTGGTAGATTTGTAATGAATACACATTACAAAAGTAACTGAGTATCCTTAGCATTTGTGTTTAAACACTCATTTTTATAAGTTCAAGATATTTAAAAATTAGATCATAATTCTGTATTTAATGCTAGTGTTTAAGATTCTAATTTTCACTGGGTCGTATTTTCTTTGATTTGGGGTTGTCTGAGTTTCTTCATCAGCCAATCCATGACTATTCCTTATGAGACTTTAATGATGAGTGAAGGAAGCAACTGAGGGGTCAGCATCTCTCAGGTCCTGTGCTGGATTGTTCCTGTTCTATAAGGACTTGATTTTCACATGTTGTTCATCTGCTGTAAATAAAATTTAGGTTTGCCACTTCTTTTTGTCCTCCAACTGACCAGTTTCCTCAAATTTCTTAAGTACACACTGCACACCATGCTGAGAGATTTCGGCTAATAGAACTTTGGAAAACACCTTGCTGTAATAAAAATATTTTGTTATATCTATCAGACTGCATTATCTGTGGGATTTTTCACAGATTTGGCTAAAGAAATGAGAACAGTTGATGAGTTTCTGTAAAAGGCTGCTAGTAACAAAGTGACTAAAGACACAATTTAAAATTGGTTCAGTCTCTAAGTTGTCTTATGTGTAGATACAATGCTGGTTTATTCATTGGTAAGCAGTTCAATAATAACAAATAACAAAAAAATTGCCTCGAAAATGGTCCTCTGAAAAAGGGCTGGACCGAAAATAAATGATAAGACAGCCAATGTCTGAAGGAAAACTTTGAAAGACCTTCACAAAGCTTGGAGAACTATTGCTTAAGACCACCTTAAAAAATAAGTGTCTGGCTCCTTGGAAGCAAAATATAAAGAAATGGGGCTCAAGACCTTTGCAAAGTAATGTACATCCTATAAGAAGAATTATAAGCTTTTGACATTGTTGCTGCTAATCAGTTGCCTTGCTTGTCAAATCAACCTCAGCAGTTTCCAGAAGAAACACATCAGTGTTATTACACAATGTCGAAGTGAGACTATAGCGACGGCAATTTATTTAATTCTATTTAGCCAATCCAAAACCTTATTTCTTGTATTCAAATGATGTAATCTTATTGTTAATGTGGCACTTTATAGATTTTACATGTAAAGTTTTTTTTTTACATGTCATTAATTAATATTTTGTGTATGAAAACATTTTCTTTTCTTTTTTTGTGAACACTATGCATTGAGAGGAATGATTTTTAGTTTAAGACCTGAAAGATGCCTGGAAATCAGTAGTTGTACAGTATGTTTGTTTGCTCTTAAATACGGTGTTCCAAAATGATTATAGCAGCTAGAACAGAGGTACAAGTCGAAGGAAAAGATGGAGGGAAAGAATGAGTCACGATACAGAGATATGGAAACAACTGAAAGAGAGACGTGAAATGCAGCAAGACTGTTCGACGTAGAACGATGGATGCCATACGCGGGAGGGAGGGAGGATAAGAGGCAGACACGCAGCAAAAAATAGCTTAGAGGGAGAGTGCGTGGCAGAAAGCCGGTCGTTTCTCTCGTGAGTTTGCACAGTGCAGACAGCCCTGCCTCTTTCTGTGCTACGTCACAGCAGAGCTGAGTGAGCAGGACTACCCTGATGCTGAAAGGAGGAGAGGAACACTTTAGTCTGCTCAAGTGGTACTGTGTGCTGCATCTCATCTGTGGATCTCCTATTGACATCACAGAGCTCACCTCGCCAAATAAGAGATTAGGCTCGTATATCAAAGATATAAAGTCTTCCTCCTGCTTCTAAACTCTCAAGACCTTTTGGACTGTCCTTCATCTTTTTGCTCCTTTCACTCATTCAGCTGTCACTCCGAGCTCTGGGTTCACACGATACAGCTGTGCCTTTTACACTGGAGGTCAAGTAGATTTAAAGCTGGATCTTATCAACTGAGGACTCCATCCAACAAACAAGAAACTCAACCAGAGGATTTATTTTGATTCTAGAGTTGTGGAGTTCTGGAGGACCACTGAGCTATTCAGCATTAATTTACTGGCATAAAACAGTCTTATTTTTAATGTTAGTTTTTGCAGGTTGCTGGGTAAACTTAAGACTTTGACTGCAGATGTGGATCATCTGTGCTTCTGGAACATTTTGACTGATGAATCAGAAATCGTGTTAATGATTGTTTTTCCCCAGAGGTGCTGACAAATGGATACCTCATTACTGCTGACTCACCACTGGTCCAAAGATGCCATGCTCCAGCTCCCTCAAGTTGGAGTTAAAGCTTATACATTTGATTCTGCCTGGGAAAACATATCATTGATTGGAAGGAATGAAAACATGACGAATGTCTCGCTTGCTTGAATAGATATCGGATCTCCAGTTTGGTTCAAAGGGATGCTGAATGTTTATCTTGTGTACTGCCAAGAATGATGCAAGAAGTAGCTGTCATCTTTGGGTCATCCCTTGAGAGCAGAACATATATATGCTCCCAAATGCTGCCTCTCATTTCTTCAGGAAGAGCCTTAGGAACTGCTTGAAACATTTCCCCTGTTTTAAACCAAGGACAAACTCATTGATTATTTTCATCTTTGGTATTTCACTTCCTTACGTTATTTTGACCCCTCAGACCTTTTTTATTTTTAATCCGAGTTTTTTTTTTCCTTTGGAATGAAGTTACACTTACCATGGGATAACTAAACATCAAACTAAGTGCTTTGATTAATCCCCTGTGCAACATGGTTGTGACTCGTCTGGAGTTGGAGCTACGCTACCAAGGCAAGAAGTTACGTGGCGTGACCTGGAAGCTGACTCGATCAGAACATGGTTTCCTACCAGAGAGCTCTTGGCTCATTGGGGCGCAGGTTATCGTACCATACCTCATATCAGGACTTGGAATGGTCTCTGCGGGTATCGTTATGGACCTTATACAAGTAATTATCCACGAATAATGTGAATAGATGTGTAGAGTTGGGTACCATCGGAAGTATTTTGATTATCGTGTCATGATTGTTGCTCGAGGGCACCACCTTCACGTCATACTTCCCTCTTTCTATAAAGAGGTGATCTTTCGTAGGTTAACCTGAAAGTGGTGTTGTATTGGAGTAGGTGGAATAACTTTTGAATATCAAAGAGATCAAAGAATATTTGAGCAAGCTCCCTACTTCACTAATTTTGATTCCCAGTGCTGAAAAACAAGCAGTGAAATTTGAGACCCAGTCCTGTTAATGGATGTTTGGGAGAAATGGACTGACCTCACTTATAGATTCTGATTGTGGGATGTTGTGGAAAGGTGGGTGGGTATTTGCATACCGAGTACAGACACGTATTGACAACTGTTGCTATGAAGAATAGATAAACGGTCTAGTCGGAGAAAAAGACCTTTTTGTTTTCCTGCCCCTCAGGTATTCACAAGCTTGAATTAGTTCAGACTAATGCTGGCCTTAGTTAAATATAAGATATTTGTCTCATCTACCTTTTTTGTGACTTGGCCTGCTTTCTGAACTCAGTCCGTGTTGTTGAGAGCCTTAAAAGAAAAACCCTGAACTGGTTAAACAAGAAATGCGTGTGTTGTGATTGCACATGCGTGCACAGCTCTGCCGGTTCACCATTGACAGTGCCTTTTTCTGATTAACAGATGGAGTCTTGTGTTACATCCACCTTTCTGAGCTTTCTAAATCAGATTTAGACCAGAGAGAGAGACGAGAGCCTTGGGATTGCATTGAACAGTTAATTCAATAAGTGGTTTGGAGATGAGAGAGAGAAAAAGAAGGCCAGAGAGGGAGACTTTGTATATACACTGCATCTCCCTTGAAATTGTCACCAAGTTCTTTACTTAAAAAGGAAAAAACAAAAGTAAAGGGCATATGTCATAGTAATTTAATGATGAGAGGTGAAACATCTTCAAGAAACTTAAAGAAGGCCAGTCGCTTTTCTTTCCAAGCTCCTTAAAAGTAAAGAACATTGTCACAGTTGAAGTGTTCCTCATACATTGCTTTGAAGCTGATGGGTAGTAGTTCTGGTTACCTAGGTAACCCTCCAGTGTATTCACTGCCCTGTCATATGTCCATCCCTGGTATTCTGTACTGTTATGGGAATTCCCCTCAGTCATTCTATGTTCAGACTTGGAACGTACCAGCTTTGCATCACCAGCATTTTGCAGCATAAATAAAGAATGGTTCAGGGTCACCTGATCCAGACACATAACTGGTATGGCAGTCCATTCTCCATGCAGTACGGACTACACTGCCCATGAGGCTACATTCTTTAGGGCGATGCCTGTAACACTCTGCCTATTGCCTTCATATTAAATTCTTTTTAATAATATTTTTTTTAAATATTCCTTCACGTCATTATGCGGGCTGCAAGTAGGGGTGACATGGGCCATGAGATTGACACACAGGCATTAGAATCTCTTAATTGGTGTTTTGTTTGGGTTTCCACCAGCGTGGAATTACCAAAAATAGAAAGAGCATAGTCTAACATATGAAACAGGAAAAGACCGCCGTGTAATCCATTCATTTCAACAAATAATAATAATAATAATAATACATTTTATTTGAGGGCGCCTTTCAAAAGCCCAAGGTCACCTTACAAAAGAACAACATTAATAAAAGAAGCAATAGTCATAAAATAAGTTAAAATTGCAAAGCAGAACTTGAAAACAGGTAAAATCAGCACCAAAGCGAATAAGCCAGTTTGAACAGATGTGTTTTGAGCTGTGACTTAAATGTGGGAAGAGAGTCTAGATTTCTTATGGCTGGAGGAAGAGAGTTCCAGAGCCAAGGAGCAGAGCGACTGAAGGCTGTGTTCCCCATAATGGTAAAAAAATGGTAAGATGGTAAGACGTGCGGACGTAAGATGAATAGCAGATGAGGATCGGAGAGGGCGGGAAACACTGGTGATATGGAGCAGGTCACACAAATAGGAAGGAGCAGATTTATGGATACACTTGTACGTGAGAAGTAAGATTTTAAAGTTTATCCTGGCTTCTATGGGCAACCAGTGAAGCTGCTGAAGAACTGGGGTAATATGAGCTCTTGACGGAGTGCAAGTTATGACACGAGCTGCGGAATTTTGAAGAAGTTGGAGTTTGTGAAGGGACCTTTTAGGGAGACCAAATAAGAGGGAATCGCAGTAATCAATGCGGGACGTAATAAGACTATGGACAAGGATGGCAGCAGCATGGGGAGTAAGGAAGGGGCGGAGTCGGTTAATATTACGTAAGTGGAAGTATGCAGTCTGGGTTATGTAATTAATGTGGGACTGGAATGAGAGAGTATTACCAAGTATGACACCCAAACTCTTAACCTGAGGGGAGGGAAGGGTGGGGGAACGTAATGGAAAAACTGTGGGATTTGGTTAAAATAGAGGCTGTGCCAATGAGTAAAACTTCAGTTTTATTACTGTTTAGTTTAAGAAAATTGGAGGAGAACCAGGATCTAATCTCGATAAGACAGTTTAAGAGGGAGGGAGGTGGGAGGGATGAATTGGGTTTAGAAGAAATGTAGAGCTGGGTGTCATCGGCACAACAGTGAAAATGGATATTATATCTTCGGAATATATGACCAAGAGGGAGCATGTATATAATAAATAAAAGGGGCCCTAATACTGAACCCTGGGGCACACCAGCAGAAACAGGATGGAGACTTGAAGAATGGGATTTAAATTGGATAAACTGATTGCGGTCTGAGAGATAGGAGGTTAACCAGGCAAGGGGGGTATGACTAATGCCAATGGATGCTAACCGGTTCAGGAGAATATTGTGAGAAATGGTATCAAACACCACACTAAGATCAAGAAGGATGAGGATGGATAGGAGACCAGAATCAGCTGCCATCAGAAGGTCATTGGTAATCCTTAACAAAGCCGTTTCTGTGAAATGATTGGGGCGTAAACCAGATTGAAATTGTTCATAGAGATTATGGTTATTGAGGTGTAAGTGAAGCTGAGAGGCGACAACTTTTTCAAGAATTTTTGAAATAAAGGGGAGATTTGATATAGGGCGAAGATTATCAAAGTTATTGGGGTCCGCACCAGGCTTTTTGAGAGTTGGAATAACAGAAGCCTTTTTCAGTGATTCAGGAACGATTCCAGTGTTCAGGGAGGAATGGATAATACTGGTTATGAGAGGAGCTAACGAGGGAAGACAGGCTTTAACTAACACAGTGGGGAGAGGGTCAAGGTGACAGGTGGATGATTTAGATTTTATAATAAGATTAGATACGTCAGATTGAAAAGTAACTGTAATGGAATACAGTTACTCATATTTTGTATTTTAAATACGTAACGCTGGTACATGTATTCCGTTACTCCCCAACACTGCAGATAGTTCATAATAATACCCCCAGAAATACATGTGCAATAGAATCGGTCACAAAAAAACACCTGAGCTTCCTCCTTTTTGTCACTGCGGGCTCTTTAAAAATACAGACTGTACTTTTTAAAATGTCACTATTGTTTTTAAAGACTATAACCCAGTTTGTCATTAATGGTCACAGTGGTGAGGGGACCATAAAAAAACTATAGAGTACAACATTAATAGCAAAACATGAGCAACCAGACTTTTAATGTAATGAAGCAAACTTAACACATTACAATTCCCCAGCAAATATTTGGCTTGAGACCTGGCTTGTAATTGGCTAAAAGAAGTGTATTTGTTACACAGAGATGCTGTTAGTAAAGAAAAAACCTGTTATTATAGACCGAGCATAAAATACTGAATTCTTCTTGAGTGTAAAACTTTCTGAAAATATCATTTTTGTGTGTCTGAGGTATCTGAATCAGTCAGCGACAGCACCAACATTAGAAAGTCCCTGGAAGTCTACAGTAGCACTGAGCTGGCTTATGTTGGCTTTTGCCCCATCACACTCGCACTCACAGTCGAGCAGCAGTAGCAGCAGTATTATAGCAGAAGTGGGACATGTCCCAAGATAGCCTCCGTGTATGACAGACGTCAGCCAGATTTAGCAATCCAGAACCTGAGAGGAATTGGTATGAATAGAGATGCACTCACACCAGCACACACACTCCTCTACCATTGACAAGACTGACATTCAGTTCTCTTATTCCCTTGTTTGGATCCATTCACCTTCATCACCTGTTCACTATTGTTTAAATAGGTCAGGAGGCAGAAATGATCCAATTGGTTGCAAACACTAGAGAGTGCAGAATATTTAACAGAGCAATAGTTAGCACGTTCATAATGGTTAAATTTTTTTTAAAATGTGTTCGGGTCATTCTTGTATGTGACAAACCACTGGCTCTGGTTAACTAAGCTAGCTAACTGGCACACAGTAATCAGTAACTGATGGGTCAATTAATATTTGTGTTCCAGGAGTTGGAAACAGGAGAGATAATGAATTACTGCTCATCAATATGTAGCTCCATTTGTAGGGTTCAGAACATCATGGAAATGATTCATAACCCTTAAGAATGGAAAGGGCATGATATTTAGATTGACCTGTACCGAAATGACAAAGTGTGAAGAAGGCAGGTCATAAACATACTTCATCACTTATGAAACAAGTCAGAGGCAGTGATGGACATGCATAACTTACAGCCAGAGAATTCAGAGGAATATAAAAAAAAAGCTCTGCTAGAACAGGGTCAGTCGAATAAAGGTTAAATTCATTCTTATATTAAGTCTTGTCACTGCGCTTTCTTTGTAAATACTGACAACACATATCAAAATCCTAAATCTAATAGGCACTAGGTTATTACTCACAAATCCCGAAACCCCAACATTCAGACGACCCCTTTGATCAAGTACTTGGCAACAGCAGGAAAGAAAAACTCCCTTTTAACAGAAAGAAAACTCTGGCAGAACCAGGCTCGGGGGGGGGGGCAGACATCTGCTGTTACCTGCTGGAAGTGAGGAGAGAGAGAAGAGGATAAAGGAAAGAATAGAAAGATATAAGCTATATGAGCATTTTCTAAAAGGAAGGTTTGAAGCCTAATCTTAAAAGTAGAGTAGGTGTCTGTCTCCTGAATCCAAACGAGGAGCTAGTTCCACAGAATCGAGGTCTGAAAGCTGAAAACTCTGCTCTCAGACTGCAGGTTTACTTGTGGTTCTCAGAGTTTCTAAAAGTAGAATTGGAGGAAAAGTGCTGTATTAGAATATTGTGGTACTATGAGGTATTTAAGATGTGATGGGGACCGATTGGTTTGGATTTTGCATCTGAGAAGAAAGAATTAAAATAAATTTCTGGATATTTTTTGTGCTTATTGTGCTCTGTCCTTTGAACCCAGTCCTCTGTAAAAGCCTCGTACCACAGAGAGACAACCATTCAAGCTTAATCATACTCTTTGCTGCCAATTTAGAATCTGTTGGCTCCATGTAACTCTGAATTCAAGTTGACTTTAGGCTCTGCAAGGTTTATTATAGGAATGCGATCCCCACTATATATAAGAGCTAAAGACTGTGGCTCTGAGTACATCTGAAGTTTAAAAGCAAGAGAGAGAAATTCTATAACTTCTCTGTTTCCTTCAACATGCCATCCAGGATCAGCTGAGTCAGCTAGTTAAGAAGCGAATGTAGGTGGTTGTACACCTGCATAGGTTTTTTCTTCCCTCTGACGGGAGCTATATTTGCTGCAGAAATTAATCTTTTGAAGTTCACACAAGGATGTATTTGCTATAAAACAATAGAGTCTTCACTGAGCACAAGCTGTTATTTTAAACATGCTAGCAATAAATAATATATTATGTCTAGCTCCTGTTATATTATATTTTATAATTGACTACGTCACCTATAAAACATCTTATCAAACTTTTACTGACCTACTTTGTCAGTCCCCTCCACTCTTCCTTCCTTCCCTCCCTACGTGGCTGTCACATCTTCACATCATTCTGCTCTTTGTAGCTGTGTTCTTGTATAATCGCATTTATTTAAAGATCTAAACCATCATGAGGCGGACTCTGTGAACTGCACGTCTTCTAAACCCAGTGAACCTGCACGGTATGGCGTGGCGGCGAATGCTCAAAGGAGTGGAAACAGAAAGTAGGCTACTGGGTTAGTCTAGAATATCTGATTGTCTTTCGTAATTCCATAAAGAAGTTTAATCAGGGGAAGTTGTTTTTAGAATAGGAATATGTCAGGCATAATTAGTAGGAATGTTTGCTTTGGTTTTGTATTTTTTGCATTGCTCTGTAATTCAGTATCTCATTACACAATGTGTGTGTTCCAGCACTGGGAGGTGTTTAAGGTGATCACAGAAGTTTTCATCCTGGTTCCAGCTCTGGTTGGACTCAAAGGAAACCTGGAGATGACCTTGGCTGCTCGCCTCTCTACCGCTGTAAGAAAGTCTAAGGGTTATGTTATAAATTATCTTATGTTATCTGTGGTATGAGCATAAATCGAATTGAACATTTAACCTCATAATCCCCTCATCCTCTAGCTCAGAGTAGCTCCTCAGAAATACAATGCCTCTAGAACATCTACAGTGGCTTGCAGCTTGAGCTTTCAATATCCATTCAGATTTTTTCAACCTATTTTTCTAATGTACATTTAAAAGCTATTCAGCTACTTTCCAACCTTGAAACTTCTTCTGTGTGAACAGCTTTCAGCAGTTCTGCACTTTGGCTTTCGGGTGAATAATTATGTGTATTTCTGCTCATTCAACAGTTTTTTCACCAAAGATTCAGCAATTATAAAAATTCTACTCAAATCCCTCAACTGTCAGCATTCACACTGCACTAACATTTCTACGCTTCACTTTATTAATACCATTTGTTGGCACAGAGGTCTCACAGAGGTTTAGGGGAGAAGCTACATGGTTCCAAAGGCACCATTCACAACATATTTTGATAATAAATGTTCTGCCCATCTTCTGAAGCTTACACCACTACCTAAATCTCAGAAATGCTAATTTATTATGATACTGAGGTGACTCATATACAGTGGCTTGCAAAAGTATTCGGCCCCCTTGAACTTTCCCACATTTTTCACATTACAGCCACAAACATGAATCAATTTTATTGGAATTCCATGTGAAACACCAATACAAAGTGGTGTACACGTGAGAAGTGGAACGAAAATCATACATGAGTCCAAACATTTTTTACAAATAAATAACTGAAAAGTGGGGTGTGCGTAATTATTCAGAGTCAATACTTTGTAGAACCACCTTTTGCTGCAATTACAGCTGCCAGTCTTTAAGGGTGTGTCTCTACCAGATTTGCACATCTAGCGACTGAAATTCTTGCCCATTCTTCTTTGCAAAACAACTCCAGCTCAGTCAGATTAGATGGACAGCGTTTGTAAACAGCAGTTGTCAGATCTTGCCACAGATTCTCGATTGGATTTAGACACCAGACAGGTCAGGAATAAAGTTATTGAGAAATTTAAAGCAGGCTTAGGCTATTTCAAAAATAGGTTGAAAAAATCTGAATGGATATTGAAAGCTCATATTCTTTAAATCCCTTGGGGAAAAAAATGACTCATTTTAAATGTCTAAACCGAAGAACCGCAAATGAAAAACTAGAATATTTGCAGAATATCTGCTGTGTGTGTGTGTGGTAATGGTGTTGAATGGTGTTTAAAGAAAGATTCGGATCTCAGTACTGTGAATGCTTAATCAGCAGTCACACTAATGAGCTGGCCACAGGAGGAAGTAGATGCCAAATCCAAACAAAGAATCCTTATAACTTATAGATGTCTCCACCCAAAGTCCAGCACCCTAAGGCTTTACAAACAACGATGAGAGAGAGAGTCAGAGCCATAATCCAGAATATGTTAGATGAGCTGCTACAAGAAAGTTTCAGGCAGCTAAAGACAGAAGTTGGTGAGGTAAAGGAGGAGGAACCATCATGAATGACCCTGCCTAGGATGCACCCTCGTCAGATAGAGAAAGTGGCTAACATTAAAAAGTCCTATCAATGGCTAGAAAAGGCTATCTTAAAGGACAGCACAGAACAAGTCCTAAGGACCAGATCCATAGAGGCAGGAGTCACACACACAGCTGGACCCAAGTTCCAGATTGTGCAATGTGGACCCAGAGACATCCAACACACATTAGAAGGTTGTAGCCAATTGTAGTGTAGTGATTGGGACAGTGTACAGAAATAATTGTACCGTAAATGAAATAAAAGTCCCCAACTTGAGGTTGGTTGAGAACAATATGAGTAAGGTCCTGTTGGACTTTTGAGTTCTGGATGGACCAGCAGCTCCTGGCAAACGAGATGGATATAGTGATGCTTGACAAGCAGCAGAAGACAGCAGTTGTGATAGATGTGGCAATCCCAGCACACAGCAACAATAGAGGAGTAGAGGGGCTGAAGGAGTAACTGGGGCAGACGTAGAGGGTGAAGTCGAAAGTGGTCCCAGTAGTAATAGGAGCATTAGGAGCTGTAACCCCCCCCAAACTGGAAGAGTGCTTCCATCAGATTCTTTGCACAACATCAGAGGTTTCTGTCTAGAAGAGTGCAGTCCTAGGAACAACGAGACACTGCACAGGACCCTCAAACTCCCAGGCCTCTGGTGGAGAGGCTTTAGAACTGGGGTGAGCAACTCCAGGCCTCAACAGCCGGTGTCCTGCAGGTTTTAGATGTGTCTTTGATCCAACACAGCTGATTTAAATGGCTAAATTACCTCCTCAACATGTCTTGAAGTTCACCAGAGGCCTGGTAATGGACTAATCATTTGATTCAGGTGTGTTCACTCAGGGTGAGATCTAAAACCTGCAGGACACCGGCCCTTGAGGCCTGGAGTTGGACACCCCTGCGTTGGAAACACACACTTACCACTAGGGCTACGATGGATACATTGGGTAATTAAAACATCTACCTTTTCATATTTTACTCTAGCATTTATGTCATGCTGTTGCAAAACACACTGTTTATTGCAAGATATTTTTCATTGCCTATGAAATTATGCCGCAAATTGGTCCCTGCCAGTCACCAAAAACTACAAGCCTGTTCTGCCATCAACGCAAGTATCATGTGAAAGAGTATGGAGAGAGTTTATGAATAAGAAGCAAAAAGCTGTCAGGTGCTAACAATAAACCACAAACCCAAACGTTAGAACAGGCTTTTCCCCACAGCACGCCATATGTGTGTATATATATATATATATATATATATAATAAAGACTAACAAAGACCCATTTATCTGTCTTAAAAAAAACTTAATTCTTTCAGACCTGTGTTATTTGAGCGAGAGCCTTTGCCTCAACATATGAATCATGACTCCATGTTTGCAGGCTAACACAGGCCAAATGGATGACCCTGATAAACAATGGACCATGGTGTGCAGCAATCTGGCACTTATTCAGGTAAGGTATGCCGGGGAGAAATTTACACACAAAATATGAAAAGAGTAAATAATGGGCTGGACTGTCACTGTTCAACAGTTCAGGACTCCTGTCTTCAGTTTGCTCTCTGCATTGTGTTTAAGTACAAACTCACTCCACTTCAATTTTTTAGGCTAAACAATTCCTGAAGCCATTTTTCTGAGAAAAATGTGCCAAAAAATATTCACTCATAAAAATTGCTGCTTCCTACATCTGTCCATCAGTGTTCTGAATGTTAAATTCACTATCCTACTGTAGCCGGGGCCTGACGCTGCTGTGCGCTGTCCTGTTTCGGCAGGTCCAGGCCACAGTGGTAGGATTCCTCGCCGCAGTGGCAGCAATTTGTTTAGGGGCGATTTCCAGAGGAGGTATTGAACTGGAACAAGCAGCTGTCCTGTGCGCCAGCAGTATCACCACCGCCTTTGTAGCTGCTCTGTCTTTAGGTAAGTAAGCTGCTGGGATGCTCTTTATTTGGAAATTCGAATAACAGTCAGTTATTCCAGCATATAGTCGCCCAAGCATACAGTTTCGTTTAGGGGTCAAATCGGAAGCTGTAACTATAGAAGAACCAGATGAAGCATTCACTCCAGAGTACCAGCTGTACTCACATTCTTCATGATGTTATGATAGTCAAACTAGACACATAAAAAAGGCACCATCAGTACCTCCTGACAGAGGAACTTTCTGATTGGATGTTTTTAACTCACCTCAGTAAGATACATAGTTCTAAATAGCTCTATATAGCTTTATTATCACTTTGACCTTCAGATCAATCTGTTGAACTTGAGGTCAGAGGTCAAATGTGTCATGATACTTTAATCTTTATACAGGACTTTCTATATGTGGGCAATACACACCACACATGTAATAATCATAGTTTCTATGTTATAAGGCTTTCTGCCAATTGTCAACCAATAAATAAAGTTGACTTTGAAGACCTCGGTGGATTTAATAGGTTGTTAACATGACCCCACTCCACACTCCCACAAGGTTTTCTCAGAATTCACAAAAAACTTTTCAAGCTGTCGTGTTGACAGACAGAACGACACACACCCATGCAGATGCTACCGTTTTTACGGTCTTAATTTAAGATAACAAACTCTTATTTAAGCTGCTAGGTGTGAATGTGATTCATTGTAACTATAACAAACAACATGTAACAGTTTGACAGTTATACAAGCTAATGTTATTATTCTGACAGTGTTTTAGGGTGGCTTCTCAATGTTGTGAAACAAATTTCAATCAAACAGTTTTCATCTGTGCGCCTGTCCTTATGTTACCCGTCTCAGCATGCACTCCCTGAATAATCCATAATTCATGCTCACCTTACGTGTTCTGGTGTTAAGCAGGACTGATGCGTGAAGGAACAAAACTGTCCTTGTTTCATTTTCTGCTCTGCAGGGGAAAACCTCATCGCTGTCTCTCTTTACACTGTCATTTCAGTTTCTCTGTAATTCGTTTTTTACTCATACTCTTTTGTTTTTCTTTTCTTTTCTCTTTCCAGGCCAGCTATCACTCTGTGAGACAGGTTTGCGTGTTGACAGTTGTCTTTATTGATATAGAAAAACTAACAAATTCCAGCTAAAAGCTTCTGTCAGCATTCTGTTGTCTCGCAAACATGATGAAAGAAGCTGAATTGGCTCTTTCTTTCTACAGTTGTGTTTTCCCCGTATGTTGATAGAAAGTGTAAGCGTCTCACGTCTTTTGTGTTTCTGTCCCTTCACACTCTGTTGTGCAGGCCTGGTGATGATTGGAGTGATCATCGGCTCGAGGAAAGTGGGAATCAACCCTGACAATGTGGCCACTCCCATTGCTGCGAGTCTGGGGGATTTGATCACCCTGTCCCTGCTGGCTGGGGTCAGCAGCGCGCTCTATGAGTATAAAGGTGAGGAAAAAGCCAAGATGTCAGTAGCAACCATATGATCTCAAGCTTATTGGGTTTCACTAAAGTTCCTTGCTTTTTTTTACTTTAACTGTGCGTAAGAGGTCACATGACTAGTTCAGTTCTATTTTTCCTTATATTCACAAACCTATGGCTGGATTATAAATTTCATTTTTCACACAGCTTAGAATTGACCTTTGGAGTATGTCCAGATCAGCATCCAGAATTTACAAAAAAATTAAATAATAAGAATAAGATTTTATTATAAGTAGTTTCTAATATTACAAATCACTAGCACTGCTTGATCTGTTTTGGTTGCATGTTTTCTTTTTTTTGTTTTTTGTTAATAAATGACATCTCTCAGAAAGTAAATGGGTGTTGTGTTACAAGCCATGGCCTTAACACAGTTTATTGTTTGAGATAACTGTTGTGGCCCCGGAGCTGCATAGCACGGTGCTTCAAACGAGGCAACACAGGCTTTTTAAATTCATCCCATTGGTGCTGCTACTAAAAATCTTAGATGAGGTGAAATCTTGGACAAGGTCAGAGGTCAGTTTTTCTGATTGTCTTGTGAGTGTAATAACCGAGGAAGGAAATCGCCTAGGTTTTCAAATTTATACCATAGATGCCCTCTGCTGGGAGGCTGAGGGGTAGCACTCGTGGCTGCCAGTGACAACCAATAACAACCCTTAAATGTGAAAAACAAGTGATACAGGGTCTTTTGGTGCCCTTGAAATTTGGAAGGAAAAATTTAACTGATTTTTTCTGCCAGAAGATGGCAGCAAAAGGCAGATTTTTCCACACACACTGTGAGAATGCACTGTGTATACACAACACACACTGTATTGTGTGTGCACTGTGTATCAAAATGACACCCTGAGACATTTTGATACACAAAAAAAGGGTGATTATAGATGTGTTTCTCTGCATCTAGTTATTTGGCATATGTGATGTAAATGTATATATGTGTGAAAACCCCGGAGGAAGCCTCCCGAGGGTTTAATAAAGTTTTATTTAATCTATTCTAATCTAATAACTTTAATCTCAGCCAAACCGATTTACTCAGGAACAAATAAAACTGACTGGATTTGTCTCCTTTTTTCTTTCTTTCTTTGGAGACCTTCAGTATAATGTCTTTGTCTCTCTGTCTCTCTTTCTTTTAGACATATGGTACCTGTCACCTATGGTGTGTCTGGTCTTTCTCTGTCTCATCCCGGTCTGGGTGTTGGTGGCCCGACAAAGCCCTCAGATCAGAGAGGTTCTCCGTTCAGGATGGCAGCCCGTAATAGTGGCCATGTCCATTAGCAGGTAGACACTCAAACACTTAATCTAGAATAATAATAAACAGCACTTTATATGTGAATAGATTTGTTTGTTTATGGCTCTTGCACATATACAGGCCTATTAAAAAGTATTTTTTTCACAGGACGTATGAAGTCTACTCTTACTTCTCCTATAAGAATTAACAGGCTAAGCAGCAGCCAGGGGCTGCTAATCAAATGTACTTGATTGATTGATAATCAGCAAGTGTGAGCAACTCTATAGAGATCTGGATCATTCATGTGTGTTTTAACACAATGTCAAAGTGGAAAGACATTAACAATTATCTGAGAGGAGCTATTGTTGCTGCCCATCAATCTGGGAAATACTATAAGGTCATTTCCACAGCAACTTGATGTCCAACATTTAACTGCCAATCTTCCCAGAAGTGGAGTGAAGAAGCTGCAAAACCTCAACAAGCAACACATCTTGTCCTGATCTAAAGAAACAGCTGAGCAACAAAATCAATGACATATATCCAGTGGCAGTCTGGAAAGGGTTACAAAGCCATTTCTAAGACTTTGGGACTTTGACAGAATGAAGGTGACTGTGAGAGCCATTGTCCACAAATGGAGGACATTTGGACCAGTGGTGAACTTTCACAGAAGTGGCTGGCCTACCAAAGCTAGTGCAATAGATCAACGTCTCATCACGGAAATCACAAAATAACCCGGAACAATATCTAAAGAACCGCTGATCTCAGTTTAGGTCAGAATTCATGACTCAACAATAAAAAAAGACGCTTGACAAAAAGTTCCAGGGAGAAAACCACTGCTGACAAACAAGAGCACAAAGGCTCATCTCACATTTGCCAAAAACCATCTTGATGATCGCTGACACTTTTGGAAAAATATACTTTTTGGAAAGTTTGAGTCCCGTTACGATTGGCATAAAACTAACAAAGCATTTAATAAAAAAGAACGGTATACCAAGTGTAGTGTGACGGTCTGGGATTGCTTTGCTGCTTCAGGATTTGGATGACTGATGGAAATGATGGAACCATGAATTCTGCTCTCTACCAGAAAATCCCGAAGGAGAATGTCTGGCCATCAGTTTGTGCCCTGAAGCTCAAGGGCACTCAAATTATACAGTAGGACAATGATCTAAAACACAACAGCAACTCCACTTCGAAATGGCTTAAACTGACAAAATGAAGGTTTTGGAGTGGTGTAGTGACTCAAATCCTAAAAGCAAAAGAAGAGAGAGCCAAAATTCCTCCACAACGATGGGAACAAGTCACTGCCAGTTACCAGCCAATGGTGGCACAGCTGCTTATTAGAATTAGTGGCTGTTACTTTTGTCTGTAGGTTTGGAGAGCTTTTCATTTAAAAACAGCATCTTTGTTGACTGGGGTTACGTTGGTCTAATAACATTTGCTTGATGATGTGAACTCTGTAAGTGTGACAAATATGGACCAAAACTAAGAAATCACGCATCACGCTGTATGTACAGCATATGAGTACATAGGTTGTATTGCTGTGTTGTGATTGCCTTTGTGTTTGTGCTGTCCAGCTTTGGAGGCCTTATACTGGACAAGACAGTGAGTGATCCCAACTTCGAGGGTATGGCTATCTTCACTCCTGTCATTAATGGTAAGCAGGTCTCTAAAATGAAACGGTGCCACATATAATTACTTGAACATGTCTGTACAAATGCCTGTGCGGTAGTTGATGACAGTGAGTTTCTGTGTATCAGCCAGCTCAAAGATGTGGGAAGTTGAGATCTGTGTCACATGGGTATAGTAATAAAGTGCTGCAGTTAAATCAAATGAGCTTAAAATTTAATGTCAAACTCTCATTTGATTTAGAAATAGTGATAGCTGCTCATGTTCGGGTTTGTTGTGCATGAGCACGACAGTAAGCACAGATTTAACAGCACAGTCCACCTCTCGGGGTACGGCTGAAATATTTAATTTTACCATGATTTGAGTGCATCTAAAATCCCCATCCAAATACTTTGACTTGATCAAAGGATTTTTCTTTATTGATTTCCTTCCAAGTAACTGGAAACGCTTCTATTTTGTGTGTTTCACAGCTCTGACGTCTGACATTAAAAAGCTGTAAACACGGAAGAAAAATATAAATGTGGTCGGTGGATGACCCATCCAGACTGGCTGGATATCAGTGTTCAGTGTTTTTCTACATAATCCTATTTAATTTGAAAACTGAAGCCATATTTCTCATAATATTAAAATCTTGTCTAAACACAGGAAGCAGGACAAGAACTTTGCTGAAGTAAAATTTTGAATTTGGCAACAATTTTGTTTATATTCACCGCCAAAGCAGAACATATTATGTAATACCAATTGGGGGCATTCAGAACAGTCTAAGGCTATGTCCACACGTACACGGGTATTTTTGAAAACGGAGATTTTCCGTTTTAAAAAATAATCATGTCCACATGTAAACGCAGAAATGAAGCAAAACGCTGCTAGGAACATGCCAAAGCAATAGGTGGCGATATATTCCTAACCGTGCAGAAATGTTGGCCAATCAGAAGTCTAGAAGCCTCGGTGGGAAAAAGTAAACAAAGCTGGGGCATAGAAGCAGAACCGAGTAGTATGTGTGGAGGGACAGTAACTGTGTGTGTATATGTAAGCATTTAAACACTGCAGAGAGTACAATTAACAGTAACAGTATTGTAGAAATTCATTTCACCCAGAATCTTATCTTCCACTTTGATTGTGTAACCCACCTGGAGCACACGAAAGGTGCAAACGCATAGAAAAATCTGCGTTTTCAAAAATACCCGGGTACGTGTGGACGTAGCCTTTATTACCATGCATGATGACCTCTCCTCAAGTACTTGAGCCTTTTTTTTTCCAAGTGGATGTTAATTGCCATTGTGAAATGAACTGAAACCAGCTGCTAGCGGGAAACCAGTCTAAAATCATATGTGATGCTTCGGAAAATGTTCAGCCCTAATGTTAAAGTACACATGATTTGAAGTTAATGGGCTAAAACCTGAAGAACTGCCAAAATGTCCTGTAAATGAAGCCTTAAAACCACTGGAACATTTGAGAAGAACCAACTTTTTCCTTATGCACCAGAGCCATGACGTAAGGGCATCAAACTGCTTTCATGCATCTTTTGGAAACTCAATTTTTATGTTGTATTTTGCTTAAAATCAGAGTTCTTCTTTTACCAAAATATAATCACTTGTACCTAAAATGCAATATTTTGTGATTTAAAAATGGAAAAGAGTGAAGAATAAATCTAGTTTCTCACCTATTTGACCAACTATTGAAAGCGAAGCAGCCAAACAGGGATATGGTTCTAAATTATAGACTGCAGATAAAAGATGGACCTAGCCAGCATGACATCAACTACTGGTTTGTGGACGACTGTTTTAAAGTTTGAAGTTTGGTTTCTTGACTCTAGCTTTTTTTTTATATTTGGAAAAGGGTTAGCATGCTAAGTCATCAGCTAACCATTTGGGAAGACCTAGCAGGCACTTAGTACCGTATAACTGCCTACAGTATAAATATTGTTTGTTTTATTTTGTTTTTTTTATACCTGGCTATGAACATATTATTTCTGCTTTAAAATCAGCCATTTTAACATCAGTGTTGGAGCTTGCCATAACTGGACAGGAACTACAGTTTCTTCATTCCCATATTGTTTGACTTAATACTATTATCTTTACAATAAAATAAAATAAATGCTCTTTTGATGTGACTGCTAGCTTCTACTTAGGTCGTTTACTTTTGAGGATGCTGACTTTATCTACATCACCTTTGCTGTTGTGTCAAATAAGAAGAGAATAAGAAGAACCAACTGTCAGAGTAGCTGCAATCACAAACAAAACAGCCACAGACAAAATTTGAAAAGGCCGAGCGTTGCAACAGCAGCTGAGTAGACTTGGCAAACTATTTGTGGTCGATTCGATTGTGCCATTATAATGATGCAAATACATGAGTAATAAGATGCAGCAAGTCAAGCTACTCTTTCAGAGGCAAACATAAAAAATAAACAAAAATTTAAAAATGAAGCTAAAAATTGCAGTTCATCTAGTGGCCACTTGGTGTTGGTTCCCAAAGCCAATTGGTTCCCATAGTACCCATGTGTCCAACTTACCAGCATTAAAAAGCATCCCAAAAATCATTAGAAAATCTCCTGAGATCAATTAAAAAAAAAACAGGATTTACAGTACAGGAATGTCCAGCTTCTGAAATGTATGTTTCTTTAAAATGTTAATACTTGGTCGGGAGCTCCATCACCACAAATTACTGCATAAATGTAGCGTGGCACGGAGGCAGTCAGTTTGTGGAACTGCTGAGGTGTTATTTTGACAGCAGCCTTCAGCTCTGCCTGCGTGTTTTTCATCTTCCTCTTCACAATACCTTCAAGATTCTTTATGGAGTTTAGGTGAGGTGAGTTGGCAGGACAGTAATAACATGGTCAGTGAACCATTTGGTAGCAGTTTTAACACTGTTCATCCATATACATTTTTTGAGACGCAGTAGTACAGTGTGTACCACAAACCCGTCAAATAAACATAAGGACAAGCAGAGAGATCGTCACACTGTGCTTATAGAGACCTGATCGTCATCTTTAATGTGTGTCAAACTTATGCCTTAATGAAAACTGCATCATGACATAGAGAAGAGGAAGCAAAAAAGAAGCAGCCCTAAGGCCGAGTGGTTTGGCTGTGAGGTGATGCGTGCAGAGAGCCGATGAGTATAGGAGAGAAGTCAATGTAAACCACTAATGATGCACAGCCAGTGTGCTGGCACAGCTCATAGGGCCTTGAATAACCACAGATCCTCCCTGTCACTGTTTCTCATTTTGATTCTGCCCATCCTCTGGCTGTTTCATAATTCGTCCGCTCTTTGCGCCACGCTGATAATTTTTAAATTTCCCATCTGGTTTAAATGTCCTATTCTGGCTTGCAAAATATAACCAGCATTATGTTTTCCTCACAAAACACCCCTCTCCCTATCCTAATGGCAACTGTGCCTCTTTTTTTTTTGTTTGGTTTTTTTTTTTTGTGGGGCTAAGTACTTGGAAGGGTGCTTGACATAACCGAGTTAGTCACAGATATCACTGTCAACACCAGATGAAAATGGACTGTGAAAAGCAGTGGGATCTGCAAAAGCTGTCCCTGATTGTGTCGAAATACGACTTTGAAGAGGCGAAGAAATTCATTTCACCCAGAATCTTATCTTCCACTTTGATTGTGTAACCCACCTGGAGCACATTAGAAATCAGAAAATGGCCCATCAAACAGTTCACGGTCAACCAGTATTGACACAATATTCCACGTGCATGTGCGACTAGTCTCCACACTTGGCAGTGCTCTTTTGTACTCATCTCTCTTATGTTTTAGTTACTGTGACTCGAGTGGTCAGGCTTTAGCGTTGCTCTGGCTTGCGTCTTTCTGCAGACCCTGTCCAGATCACAGCTGTGCCAAGAGTGTGTCATTATTTGGCCTAATTTGTGTGCCGGCAGCAATAAATAAGATTAAGCATCACTTAAGCTGTGTTTACTGTTCTTTGTGGGAGAGAACTTTGATAACCACCCTGTAGTTTCTCTTGCTTTGTTTACATCATCTTTGACTCAGCTCGTTCATCCTCTTGCCTTCTCTTCCCATGCATAGGAGTGGGGGGCAACTTGGTAGCCATCCAGGCCAGCAGGATCTCTACCTATCTGCACTTTTGGAGCATCCCAGGGGTGCTACCCTACAAGATGAGGCAGCACTGGCCCAATCCCTGCATCACCTTCTTCTCCTCAGGTAATGCTGCCATGCGGTTGAAGCTCTCTAAACCAGAAATTTAAACGATTTAAGGAAACTGACTTTTAACAGGCGTTGGTAAAAAAACAAATTCTACTAATGAGGGGCTGGGATCAAGCATTCTAGACACACAATCAGCCCACCCCAACCTGCCTGAACCCCAGGAAGAGCCAGCCTCTTCACGAAATCCAAACCCAAGAGTTACAGCCCCACGGCCACCCAACAGGCCCCGCCACACCATAGTTTTAAACTCACTGTCTCACCACCACCATCGTCATTTTCAGCCAGAGACAAACGGCCAGCTCGTGTGAATGTGGGACTTGATCTATTAGCTGACTGCAAATAAGACTTCCAAATATGCTGATGTCAATCAGAGTCTGCAGAATGTGTAAAAAGTCAGCTGTTGATGTCAGATTAACTATAAGTGGTGACAATATTGACAATGTGGAGCTTGTAAAATAACTCAGATTATGTTACATCATACAATCACAGTAAAGTTTAGACTAGAAGTTGGAGTCAAAAGATTGGTGATACAGATCAGTGGTTGATAACAAAAGGCACTATTTTCTTACATTTTCTGTCTCCCAGGGGTCAACTCAAAGTCAGCACGGGTGCTGCTGATGCTCGTTATACCCGGTCACCTGGTCTTCCTTTACGCCATCTCTCTGCTACAAGGAGAGGAGGCACCTATCTCCATAGCCTTCACTGTCTGCTACCTGTGTGCTGCTTTGGTACAGGTACACTGATTCAGCCCCATGCCACATACACTGTAAGAAATCATTTGGGTTTTCCTGTTGATGGTAGCCAACACTGAGTGGTTTCTCATGAACTCGTTGGCTCTCAGCTGACCCTCAAGTTTCCAATGACAGTCTGACAGAGACTGTGAAAACCAGTCATCAGAAGGTACATTATAGACTTTGTACAGTCTGATCAAAATGGCCGCAACCACCTGTTACCAAAGTGTGAAATGACCTGTACCAGGTGTGTGTTTGAGCAGCTCACTGGGATAAAGAGTTGCTCCAGGATAGAGCAGAATGTACACCACAATCCCCAGCATAGCATCATCTATCATGTGTTTGGAAAGTCTGTGTTACCGAACAGAATTCTGTGTTTTGTCCTTTGATACCAAGTCAATAATAGTTTGGCACTCTCGGTAATCTCCCAGAGGTTCCAGATGTCAGATTTCCTAACAGCCCAAATCCAGGAAAGTTGATTCCATTTCTAGAAAGCTTCATAGGACACTGCCACGGATCACTGATTTTTCAGCTGATAATCAAATACTTAAAACAATCAATATGGACCATGTAACCATTTAACCATCACTTTTAGATATACATTCTAATCATCTGCTCCAACTATTCATCCACTAGGTTTCATTTTTTTCTCTCCAACAGCTGTCTTTTCTTTCTTTCTTTTTTATAAACAACTGTTAGAAAGCTGTTTACTTTTAGTTGTTTTAAACCACTTATCTTATCTTGTTTATTTAAAGTCAGCTCTACTTCTACCACTTTAGGCATTAGTCACACCGGCCTAGAGACCGGTTGAAAACCCTGTCGCTCCCTCAGGTCGGTCTCAGGGGAAAATGCACGTTCTCCGACCGACTGGTGCGTGATCACCCGAGGTTGCTGGTTCAAATCTGTCTCAGAGAGTGTGGTGCACCAAAAATGTCCTGTTGCTTACTTTGGTCACTAGCACATTGCCACGGTCGCCCAGTGTGCACGCTTGTAAATGCCGCACGTGTTTAGATGCCAGACTAATCACAGAATGATACTGAAACTTTCATTCACTATAAAAGTTAGAGCTGCGTCTTAAGCTGCATCTGAACTAGAAGCAAAGTGCCAAACAGAGACCACAGACAGAGAATGACATTGGGCAACTAAAAGGAACTACGCATGACATAAGCATTAGTGATGGGAAGCGATCAGGACCCAGAATACATTTTTCACAAGTTCCAGGGAAGCACTGATTGGCACATAACTTGATAGTAAATGTTTTAGAGGACCACCTAGGCAACTGGATCACTAACTGATTATTCAGTTACTTTCGGTTCCAGCAGTTGATGATGTGCATTTAAAAATCTCATATGTTTGGTAATTACCTCAAACCATTGTTTTTGTCCAACAGCTTAAGCTAACATTTAATACTTAAGCCATTGCTTATTAGTTTGAATTGTTTCAACAGTTTGCCCTTGCCTTTTTACTTCTCCTGAATCTTAATAATGTTACAGTTACTATTTAAATCATTTGCTTTACTTTTCGCTGACATTTCCTGACTTCAACCATTGTCCATTTCTTTTAGGGACAGATTTAACCATACTTTAACTATTAGCCATTTTTACAACTTACCCATAACCTTTAGAAAAGTCTAAGAGCTTGGAAAGAAAAGCCTCTGGACTTCTTTAAATTCTTCAAGACGCTTTTCTTTCCAAGCTCCTTAGACTGACCTGGATGACTGAGAACCTTCACAGACAACCTTTAGAAAACTATTCAAATTCCCCATCATTTTATTTTCAGTTGCTAAATATTACTATACTGTTACAACAGGTCTTTCAGTTTCGACAGTTGGGCCATTACATTCACCAACTTTATTCATTTAGCCATACTTTCAACCGCCCATCTTTTCCTTTTAGCTGCTTAAATCATGTATATCATTAGATTATTTGTCCATTACTGGCAGCTAATAGTTAGAAAAGAAGCTAACTTTACAAGTACTCTAACGTTTGATGCTAATTTTGACATTCACAGCCCAGTTGTCTTCTCTCTTCAGGTGGCTATCCTCCTTTATGTTGCTGACCTAATTGTCCGTTTGATGTGGAGACGGAGTCTGGACCCTGACAACTTCTCCATCCCGTACCTGACTGCCCTGGGAGACCTGCTCGGCACTGGTTTCCTGGCTCTCTGTTTCCGCTGCGTGTCAGTGGTTCAAAGCCTGGGTCTATAAACTGATTTTTTTTTCCATTAAGAACTGAACTCTTAGCCTGCCACCATCATATTGAACCCGATTTTGTTGCATTAACAAAAATGCTTTTGATTGGACAATAAAGCATTTTTTGGATCTTTCCAACTGCGCCTGAGAAATCCGTATTTGTCACAAATTCAAACCTTTACACTGATGGGAGGTACAGCACTGGTGACATCCACCCATTTACATCCATCCATCTGGATAGGTTATTCTGCTTGGACACATCCACTTTAAGCCTAGCAAACAATCAATCTTTTTTTTTTATTTTTGCCTAGCCAGAATGATGTCCTTCATTTTGAATTAATGTTGACTGTCATTCCTCTGTTTCTTGGTCCTTATGTGGTTACCCTGCGTGGAATATGTAGCAACTTATCATAGTGGCATGACGGCAAGATTTTGTTTTGTCTTTTTAAATCTAAGGGATAGAACAGACTTAAAGCAGCCCGTGTTTGGGTGCACTGCACTATGCATTGATTTTGGAGGATAGAGAGGATGATATATGTCACCGTATAAATGACATATGTCATACACTAACTCAGCAGTCCCCAAACCCCGGGCCACCGACTGGAATCGTTCGGTACAGGCCACGTGAGTTGAGGCTAAGGTGTGAAATGTATTGTTAACTCAGTGTCCCTGGGTCTTTTCCCATGTTTTAATTGTGAGACTTATTTTCAAAGAAATATTTATGCGTTACCATAGCGACCAGAGAGCATTAAGGGGCAGAGAGGAGGATGTTACTCTCAATGTTGTTGGCCCATTTCAGGAGGATGCTGCTAATAAAGTTACACAATTACACAGTGAATTCGCGTTTATTATTATATTTACAAAATACCACCGTTTTTATCTTGGTCATATTATTTTATTTTGTTGTATTTATCCGCGACACCTTAAAGGCCGATCCGTGAAAACATTGTCTGACACTAAACTGGTCCGTGGCACCAAAAAGGTTGGGGACTGCTACACTAACTGGAATATAAAATAATGGGGAATGTTCTCATGATAACCTTCTTATCTTTATCATAATCCACAGAATGTACTTTACAAGGATTCTAACAACCAAAATAGACACCAGTCTTTGTGCGGATTTATAATGTTGAGATACTGAGACAGATGGACGGACAGAAATAATAACTGTTAAATGTTTGACATCTGTAAATGAATTTTTTTCTCTTGTCCACAGTGCACAGCGCTCTCCTGAATATCTAATGTTCAGATTATGTAGAGCTTCTTGTTGGACATTCACTAGATAAATGTACAGTATCGTTAGCGTGCACATTAGGTCAATAAGCTAATGATTACGAGAAAGGAGATTGTTGTTCAGATTTCAAATCATACTAGAAATTGTTAAAAATGTGTTTCTAAACACTGAAGTGTGAAAATGTGTGTGCACCTCTCACCTTGTGCGTCACGATCTCAATGTTCAGAAAGCGTTCTGCAATATTTTGATAGTTGTGAACTTTGTGCTGCCACTTGATGATTTTAAAAAACCAGACAGCTGCCTCTGGAATTCTCTCGCTACTTGATATTACATCCCTTTAATGGAGGGTTAACAAAGCCTTACTATTCATAGTGATGTTTTTCAGAACCAGAAGACCTCATCATTACAGCAGTGAGTGCATACTTATTTTGTCTGTTATGGAAAGTCTTTGCACATATTGGATTTTAAGGTTTTAGCTCAGCTCTTGACCAAATCCAAAACTTACCTTTAACCCCAGTTCTTGGTCATAGTCTGTCTTGATATCCTTGATTTTCTTTGTCTTGTCTTAAAACCCCAAAATAGTAGAGTTCAGAAATATCCCACTCTTGTGGACACGTTTAATCCACGCTGGTATAATTTGCATCTGGTGTCACATTCTGCCTGTGTTCACTGTGCCCTTTTTTAATTCACGTAACAGTTAAAGTCATGTTTAAGCTGCTTTATATTCAGACTTTGCACATTCAGATGTTTAATAAAACACAAAGGATAGAATCGGTAAAAGTTCATGACAGCATTTGGGTGACTAAATCAGACTGGCCCAAACTATGTCCTTGTCTTTCTGTTTGAGTTTACATGATGTTTCAAAATAACACTGAAACACGAATGTGTGTGTACATGCACTCATTAAACACAAGGAGAGTTTCTCATTTTTCACGTGCATGCACTTTTCGAGTAAACCTCAGACATAAATGCGTTTCTGTCAACAACCTGTCTTCTCAGTAAACATTTATGTGAGGTACTGCAGTGTTAATAGGTCTTTGCTAAAAGCTTTTATTGTAACACTGTTAAGCACTAGATGCATAAGAACAATAGACGTGTACTACTTGAATTCCAGGTTAGTCATCTGAGATTAGTGTATTAACTGTGATACTGTGAGATTTTAGACCACAGCTAAGATTGTGTTGTACCAGCACACAAGTGAGTCGTAACCAGTGTGGGTGAAGGGGCTGGATGATACAATTTAAAATTTGTCATTCGCATAACAATTAAGGTTAATATGACAGTTTTAGGAAATTAGTTATTTAGACTATTATGATTGTTTGACTGTGGATTGTCTGCTGTTTGAATTTTTGACAGTGATCCAAATTAGACGCACATTTAATTTAAAACTGTTAAAAGGAAAAGTTTAGTGTTTTAATAAATTTTTATTTTCAACTGCCATTTCTAAAAATGCAAGTAACTAAATTACTCTGAGTAAAATATTTGGATAAGAAGGCCAATAAATGGATGTTGCTGGTAAAGCCAGAGTTGTTGTAGTAGTCCCCCCGCTTCATTCATGTTCACATGGACGACATATAAAATGATATTCTTGTAGTCTACCGTAGGTGGCGTGATGTCTGCCAGGTTATAACACATTAGAGGGTATTTGCATTGGGCCTCACTTAAGGGTCACCCTATAACTACAAAATGTTCTGATCCAAAGTGGAGTCTCGCATACCTGCAGACCACTACACCAAATGGTTAAAAGAGAACAATCACAGATAAAAACATGGGAACATTACTTGAGCATTTAATTTGGTAATTTTATAAACATGGACCCAAGTTCTAGT